ATAAGAATTGAGTAGATAGACAAGGAAACAAGAATTGCACTGAGTAAGAGGTCAACCCAATATATTAATCTTCAATCACACAGCAATGCTCTGGATAACAAAGCCTATATAAAAGAATCATGATCACAGCAAAATATACAAGAAATGGTCATAGAGATCTTTCATTGCCTTGGTACCCAGTGCTCTCATCCCCTACAGAGCACATGATATAATCAATATCAGAGGCTTTTGCACTTCACAGTCACTTCGCTGTCAACCCAGAGAACTTGTGTTGTCCTTATACCCACTACCTTAATCCTTTACTGAACCTCTTATATGATTAATATCAGGGTCTGTGCACTTCACTGCAACCACCATGAACAAATTGTGGCCCCTGGTATACCCACACAATAATCCTTGATCCTACATGTACTGTACAATACATAGACTAACTGCTGGCTAGTAACAAATGTCTTCGTAGTTCTGAAATATATCTAACAATCTTCTGTCTGCTTTTATTTTATTAGTGTTCAGAGATGCCAGAGACGCTTGAAGAGCACCGAGAGCACCTTCTTTATTTTTCTTTTGTCCTTCCAACACTTTGTTTTCAGCTTCTAGACTGCGGATCCTTCCAGTCAGCTGATCAATCCCTGTCTGGATCCTGGTCTCTGCTGCCAGTGCATCCTCCTTGGCTTCCTTCAAGTCGGCGTTCCTTCCCAGCTGAGCCCTTTTCTCCCCTTCGGCCGTGGCCTTTCTCTGCTCAAGCTGCTCGAGTTCCTGGTCCAGCCGGGCCATTTGCTGCCGGATCTCCTTGCTGTTGCCTTCTAACTCTGCCACTTGTTGGTCTAACTGGGACTTGGTTGCCTGTTTCTGAGGTCGCAGTGCTTTCTCCGCCGCCACCTGGTCCTTCAGTGCTTGTGTTTTTGCCTGAAGGGAGGCCTTTTCTGCTTCTGTGTCGCTGCCTTTGGCCAAAAGCTGCAGGGTGTCATCTTTCACTCTCCGAATGCTGGCTTCCAGTTGCCCAATCGAGTCCTCCTTCTGCTGGGCCTCTTGGCGTCTGAGGTCGACCTCATTCTGAAGTTGCAGACTCTGTCCTTCAAGCTGTTGAATGACGGCTGCAGTTTGGTTATTCCTTTGCAAGTTCTTGCATTCGTTTCTCTTGTGCTTTCACTTTTTCCACAAAGTCGCTTGGCATGAAAGTACCTGTGGAAAAATCATACTTTCACCATAAACTAAAATCTTTTCTTACTGAGCATTTCATGCTTGCTAAAGTTGTAACTGGAAGTAATTCATATTGTTTTACATATGCGTCTATATATATATATATATATATATTATATATATATATATATATACACACATATGTATGATATATATATATATATATATATATATAATATATATATATATATGTATGTATATATATAAATATATATATATATACATATGCACACACACACACATATATATAAAGAGACAGTTATCTACAAGCATGAATGAATGTGTGTATATGTACATATATATATACATATATATGTATGTGTATGTATTTGCAAACACACGCACGCATACATATTTCACATTTGGAACCAGATCACACACACACATATAGAGAGAAACAAACGTCTATCTACATATACACACACAAGCATAGGTAAATGTGTGCTTATATATAGATACAACACAGACACACATATATTTCACATTTGGAACCAGATCGAAACCTCTTCCCCACCGACTCAGACTACAGCGCTTTCGTATTTTTTTTTTTTTTTTTTTTAATCTGTTATGATAATTTGTCTGTTAATGTGTAAAAATATCTAATTGTATTTCAGACTATATGTATGTTTCTATCATGCTTGTATATTTGCGTGTATGTGTGTATTGTGTCTGTATCCGCGAGTGTGCTTGCATCTGTCAAGTGAGTTGATTTAACCCGGGCGACTCACCTCGGTTGATGACGTCATCCTGCTGCAAGTGTGACGTCAGAGCCTGAGAGAGGATTTCGACACTGGATGTCACTCGAGCGAGGCCTAGAAAGTGGAAGGGAATTCGAAATAATAAAGTCTCTTCATGATACAGAAAATAAAAAAAAGAAAATTACATCGACGTGCTTGTGCTTGTGAATGTGCTTGCGTTCGTTCGTGTGTCTCGTCTGAGTGACTGTGCTTTCGTCTGTGCATGTGTTGGGGTATTTTATTGAATATAGAGGATAATTGTCGAAATACGATTGTCTGCAAGATTTATTAAGCAACGTAAATTAAAAACTATAATTTACAAGAGATCAAAGTAACGTCCCTTCTTCAGACGTGAAAATGAAAACACTGAATAGAATACATGAGCAACGAAAATCGGCTAAGAAGCACTTTTCCTCACCGTCTATTCGTCTACTATCGTTATCGTCTCTCTATTTCCTTCGGGAGATGTCGGCAACCTTCAACAGAATTGACAGCATCAACTCATCCAATATTATTCATCTAAGGATATGTCGGCGCAGTGGACTTTGCTTACCTTCAC